CCAATCCGAGAAAAGGATGGAAGGATCCTGTTCATATGGACCTGTCGGCAGACAGAACACTACAAATAAAATAAAAACGTAAAGTAAAGTTTATCCCGCTATACGCCATGTAGGCGTTTGGGGTGAGTGGAGGTATAGCTCCTCTCTTCCTTGACCTCGGCACTCGATGGGGGTGAATGGTCAGCATCACGCCCCGGCCGGCTTTACCCCCGGGAAAGGACCCCGGTACCTATTGTAGAGGAGGCTGGGTGGGCCCCAGAGCCAGTCTGGGCGCAGAGGCTAGAGGAAAAAATCCTCTGCCCCTGTCGGGGATCGAACCCTGGCAGTCCAGCCCGTAGCTAGTCACTATACTGACTGAGCTATCCCGGCTCACAAAACATTTAATATATACGTGTTAATAGAGAAATTTGATAACTGGATTGCCTATAGCGAAAGGAACAGAAATGGAAGAGGCGTTCTGTCGTTCACAAATGCAGTGATAAATAAAAATTACATGTTAATGTAGAACTTCGGCTTTTGGGTGAATACCGAAATTATATATTGAACTTCAGCAGTGGAAACCTACGGACAAGAAAATTACATTTTCGAGAATTTTTGTGGTCACTCTACAATCTAAACCATCTATGAAATTATGTAAGTGTTAATATTTTGAGACATCCTATGTTGGCGAATGCGATGTCGAACATGAGGTGGGAATTTAATTACCGAGAAACCAACTTCTGCGTTCACGATCCCTTGATGTAATTAAGGGTAAAGATTACCAGCCATTACAACGTGCAACATGTCCGCGTGTCGCGGGGTTGAAGGTCATATTCCTAGTATGTCGATACTTGAGCGTCTTATTAAACCGAATGCACCTCCTAACCTCTTCGCACCTCTTCTTCTGTGAGTACACACTGATCTGGCCTTATATTCTAGGATATTTTATTAAGAGCTGTTTTAATACGACTATCTCAGCTCTTCTTCATTAGTTTTTGTCTCCTTCCAGCTGGTTTCTCCACCAAAATTCTCTACGTACATAACGTATTACGTTTTCCCGTTCGAATTACGTGTTGAGTCTAGATAAACTCACTGCATTGGACTATGCTGGCAATGTTCGGGACAGCATAAACCACGATGCCTATAGTATGATTTGCTTAGTAATGCATCTTTATTAAGCTCACCTGTTTTGTTTACTACTTTGTATGAGAAAGTCTTGCGTATAATTTGTGATTTTGAAACTAAAGACCTAATAAAGGGATTGGTAAAATAGCATTAGGTGAATTTCATAATTTGTAAGTTTTCTCTCACCATCTAAGCGTCTGTCAGCTTATAAAGGATGACTCTGTTTCACGAAGTTAGTAGTAATTTGTTCTTATCTCATTATTAGCAGTTTATTTATATATAATTATTTATAGCTTATTAACGACGCTGTAAATAGCTCAGAATATATATCATTATTCGGTGTTGAAATAAATAGATATGTCAACTTATCGGGAAATGTTAAAGTAATATTATTATTGTTGTTGTTGTTGTTGTTTGTAAACTTTCAACTACTTGCATTAAACAGTGCCTCACTCCCGTCTTAGTTAAAATACTGATGTGCCGCTTGTGGAGGTTCGGAGGCTCTGGGGAGGGCACTGATGGACAGCTTGGCCTCCTGGTGACCCTTTAATACGCAGGTCACGTTCTGGGCGGCTTTCTCTGTGTATAAAGGCCAACATTGCAGGTGCTAATGTCAGAACCAAACAACACAGTGGAAAGATGACGGGCACACCAGCACATTCTTAACATGCATGACAGTCGAGTGGGGTGGTCTATGTTTCAGAGGCCTGGGGCTCTAATCTAAGGCCCACGTGTCTGTCTCTTGCGATTAGAATTTATAATTCTCTAACATGTGCTCTGATAAGATTGATGATTGAGTTACGCTTTGAAGATGGCTGTATTCTGGATTGTAACACCATGTTGTCTGGTAGGAGTTTACCGACATTTCAGAGGAGCTTGTTGATTCCGTCATCAGGGCCCTAAACGGCGCTACAACCCAAAAGACAGGCCATAATTCTCGAGTTACATCAAGGCATGGGATTGTTGACTTGGTTACCAACTATTAACTTCTCAAGAATGACTCAGTTGTATAAAGTTATAGCTATTGTAGGGTGATTATAAATTATGCTTCTTCTGAGATCCAAACGGTTTCCTGGACGTTAAAGCAGGCAGTACACCAAGGAGTTTAAACGATCATACAGATTGTTTAAATATAAATATTTATCAGAGATACTCAATTGACTTAGCCTATTTCTTTACAGGAACTTTATACTTGACAGAAGCGTTTTGAAATTCCATTATCTTACAATTCTAAAGTAAAGATAACGGAGAGCAGAAAGAAACAACAGATGTCTGTAGAAAGCTTGTAGAATTTATCATGATTATATGCTTAAACTTTCCTGCGAAGGGTAAGATCCGCCGGATGGTATATTCAGATATTAGATCTCTTAGTAATACGGTCATTTATTGAGTTTTCATTTCTCATACCTAGGAGTACAATTACGTTTAATTTAGTATTTTTCGTTCGGAAGTGAAGATAAACGTGTTAGTTATAACGCCATTAATATAGAATACGTAAGGCGGTCTGTGTAGGCCCATAGATTGCTTCTCTTTCCATTTCGTATGGCACTGTTTTATCTTCTTCTTATTATTATTATTATTAAAAAATAAAATCGATCCGTTGCCATTGCAACCTCATACCAAGCAAAGCTTTCATTGCTAGAACTCGCATTGACGTGCATTGTAGCACAATCAAAATAAATAAAATTAGAAACAGAATTAATAACATTCGATCATAATGCTCGAATAAAATATTTTTAAAACAGTGATTTCACACACAAAATAATAATCACAAATGCTAGAACGTCTAACAGATACGTCACTGCAATGCACAGTTCGAGCTTATTGCTGTTTGCGTGTGTGTTTTCTGTTAAGTTATGTCAGTAACTTCAGTTGCTGGTGTTTTTGTGGTGGCTGAAGGAAGGAATAAAGCAGATCCTGACCATTGTTATGTCAGGACATGAACATGATTGTTCTTTTGTTGTATTGTTTTCTCTCTTTATTCGTGTACATGTTATTTATTTATCCAATCCATTGCCTGTCACGCTTTGGTCTTCCGCGAATTTTATCTACAAGACATGTTTTCTAGTCGTAGGTGCATCAATGTTTACTACTCTGTGTTCTTGGGCAAGAAATTCAGAAATGGGTTTAACGTAGGATCACCACTGGGTAGAATTAAAATACCTTGAACAGTCTCGGGTCGGAGCCAAAACAGGACGCTTACCTAAAAGCTAATCAAGTTGGAAGGCCTGATCTGGTACCTGTTTAAAATGTAAAAGTAGATATGTCACCGAAGTGGCTTTCTGACTTCGGTTAGAAAAATAATAAGATCGAAACGTGTAGATTTTAAATACAGTTGAAACGCATTGACTTACCTCTCATAAAATTACGCACTCTCGCGCATTACTTACTAGATAAGATGTCTTTCTTACTACGGACTGTCCAGTTTACCTAACAAGGAAAGATGAAAATTTACAAAGCTCTTTTCATCTGTTTGGGTGTTAAATATGTTTGTTTGTTTGATTTAGTGGTAGATTGATGGTATTTAAAATAGAGCGCAGAGGAGAATATATGAATTTAAGAGAGTTGAAGTCGAAGGATAATATTAAAATGAATCCAAAATAAGTGAAGTTCGAATATGTATAGTTTGAAAAATAATATAAAATGATGATGAAACCCTACTTGATTTCAGTAATATTCTGTTCACAATGTTTCTAACTCAGTGCTGATCGTCACAAAATAATTAACTTCAGTTATTTTAATGTTTTAATATTGTTTAACCTACTTCAGCTGGTTTCAGCCGTGTAGCCTGTATTAAGGGTACAGACCTAAGGTGTCTATGCATTATCAGACATTTAATATGGACCCTCAAACTCGTTATAGTCTTAATACAAAGCACAGCATAGTGAATAATTGGCTTCTATTCTCCTTTAAATCTTAACCGCAAAGATTCTCGTTCTACCCAAGTTGTTCTTATCCACCAAATGTCTCGAACTTAGTAGTTACAAATTGTGAGTCGATATCAAGTTCGTAGTTTATTATTCCATCATTTTAGAGAACGAAGATAATCAAGGATTAGCCTACGCAATCTAGAATGTTTTGCCTTAGTACGCATTTGAAATGTGAATGCAAAATGGTAGGTTACACCACAGATTATATCCTGCGCGGTCTTCTGACTTTACGTTATCCATTAGTAACTACTAGTCATAATTCTGGAATGAAAATTTGAACGTTGGCCGTCTTCGACGTTTTAAATGTTCGTTTTACAAGTCAGTTTCAGTTTTTAAGGCAATGTACATAGTTACGCAATATCTTCATACATATTTAAATAACTCATGTAGACGTCATTAGGTCTTTCACATATTCGACAAGGTTATTTTTGTAATAGATCTTCTGCAATTTAAATTCTTTGCCGGATTTCAGGTAAATATATTTGCACCCATTTTTTGAGGCCAGAAAGTGTACTTTATTTCGAAGAAGTTTTTCCGGTTAATTCTTATCCCATTAGATGTGTGTATTTACCGCAGCTCCAGAATTTCGAGATTCGGTATTTTTAATACTTAAAAATTAACTTATATTTCCTTTACTCCGAGACAAACCGGTTCGAAGATAATCTAACTCTGGACTAAAGTTATGGTTAGGTGTGACAATTTAAGATTATCACACACCTCATGGGTCGGCCATAGAAGAGCATGCAATGTGAAATGGTGATTAGCAGCGGAAAAAAAACTCAGAGAAAGACGAACTTCAATGCCATTTGATCCACCACCAATGTATTTCAAATTATCCGGGTTTGAATCTGCGTCTTCCATATGACAACCCTACATCTAGTTGCCTACTTTCCTCGTAGATGACAGTGTGGAACCACGACGTAGATGCTGCTATCTCGTGGGAAATATAGGTATTAAGCTTGTATTCAATTTATTCTCTTTCTTTCTCCCAGGTGGCAGTTGCAGATAGACATGCATAAGGGTGAGAAGTCGAAAGAAACTTGTATATTCGATTGTAGAAAGGAAGAATTCTTATTGAATAAATGGTTTGATTTCAGCGATCTGATTTGTTATGGGTTATGCGAATTGACCAATCAGTAGTAATTCCTACAAAGAGTATAAATTATTTGAATCAGTGGGATGATTGAATTAATTCTAGCCTTGAAAATAAGGAGAGATGGCCCGAGAAGATTTTATTAATTCTTGTTTATTTTCTTTTGATTAATATTACCGTAGGTAACTTAATATCATGTTCATAGTGAAGCTAAAATAATACTGGTTATAATATTTAAACACTACTCTGAAAAACAACAGAATTCATATCTTTGCAGAATGACAGTATATATTTTACTTTTTCCCATTTAATTTTCAATTTATGACACTCCTGTTCTTGACTTGTTATACCAGAATGTGCAAGGATAAAGTTGCTGAATTTATTTGACATTTGTGGCTGTACCTTTTATTCTGTAGGAAATTGAATATACTTCTTAGCAGCAATGTGCTTTTCATAAATCATGTTGTGGTATACATATTTATTCTAGGTTTTATAGTTTTACCGCTGGAATTTATGTGTAACTTTGCTTTCTGGGTTGAGCTATATTGAATGTTGAGAACTGTTCTTCTCTCATCGGATAGCAGCTCATTCTTTTGCTCCACCAGTCAGCACCACCAAGTAGCCACCTACTGACTACCCTTACATAAAGCTTCCAAAATTGCCCAACCACTGCATATTCATCCAGAAAAAATCAACTGCAATGTTTGCCAAAATGTGGGAAAATTCTCAACATTTGACTCAGCTTAACCCCAAATGCAGAAATCACATGTTTTTCTTGTTTATTTATATCTTTATTTACTGTAATGTGCAGATGAAAGCTGGAAGAGGGACTGTAAGTGAAAATGAGTATACTATATAGAGAGCTCTTTGAACATAAGAACTTTAAATAGTGGGGTTCAATGATGAAAATGTAAATATTCAAAGTATAAATATAATTTTTATATTCCAGTATCCTACTGTAGAACTGCTTTTAAGGGATCTGTGCCTATGTCCATCTCACAACAAAAATTATTTTATTATTCTCCTCTGAAACATGCCACTTAAAAAATCACCTAATTGCCACTGATTGTGCTGATTAAATTAGTTTTAACTTTGTATTGTCCATAGTTGAATATCGATATTTCTTGTGTCAGACAGGAACACAGTGATCTAATAAATATGACATGTATACCTGTGCATGAAGACAGTGCTACCTTGCTGTGAAAAAGAAGTCTAACTGAAGGCTTACTTCAAAATTGATGTAATGTAAATATAACTGAAAATGATCAGTTGAACTCAGAATATGAGTTAGTTGATGTGGAACAATCATTGGATCTGCAAATCTGTCTGTTTTTCAGATGTTAAAGACAGCAGTGGACTTGGTGGTGTGATATCAACATTAAGGTCCATAATTGTAATGAAAAATACAAATTTCAAACTTACCAATCTCATTTCATCACTATTGGTTGTCAATTTTGGCTAAATAATAACAGCAAAGGTGTTTTGCACAGCCAGTTCATAATGAAACTTGATTTCTAGAGCTGGACCAACAATAGCAGAAAAATGCCAAGAAGTTAAAGAGAACATGGCCAGAGATGCTAGGAAGAGAAGAAAAAAGAAGAAAAGAATCATAGGAGATGAGGAAGATCATATGGCTGATGGATGTTCTTAACAGTACTGTAAGTTTAATAATGCATAATTTTAACTCTGTTGTTAATTGTCTTCTTCAGGGTTATGATACTGTGTACTTTCAAGTTGTTGGGTACATTGGTATACTTTCCTAGGAAACCACTGCTGACAGACTGACAACTTTCAATGCATACTGACATATACAAAGCCAAACCTAAATACAAATATGTCCACCTTCTGGGTTGTAGTGCTGTGCAGTCTGGTAGAAGTTTACCAACATTTCAGTGGTACTTGCTGCCTCCATCATAAAGGTGATGAGCAAGCCATGCACAAGGAATTGGTTTGAGATAAGGAACCAGTCGCTCAAGACAGAACCTTAACCGGACCAGTGGGGAATAAGGTGAGAGCAAGTAAAGCAGCAAACACGTCTGAAACATTGAAGAACTTCTACCAGACCACATAGCGCTACAACCCAGAATACATCCATATTCACACTTGCTGCCATAAGAACCTCATATCCTACTAAATCTAAATTTAATTTTGAGTGGTTGCTGTTCACAAAATTGCTATTGTTTTGCTCTCAATTTAGAATTAAAGTCTATGGATGCTGCTATCTCACAGGAATAGTAATAACCAGTATTGATAGACTGGCAATGCACATGACTTGAATTTCTTTATTGTTTTTCTGAGTTAAAATATGTGTAGCAGCAGTTCCTAATTCTGAAAATATGTATCAGTTTTCAATACTGCCAGACATTTCTGTTCATTTATAAATCAGATTGGTTATGACTTCTGCCATATCCTGTATTCTTTCCAGCCTGAAATGTTGTTCATTACTGACAATTCTTGGCTTAACACACTTTTGTGGCAGCTCAGTAGTCTTGTCTGCTGAAACTGGTCAACAATGTGATTCACTCAGTGCTTTTCAAAGTCTAGATATCATGGAAGATAAAACTGACAATTCTTGTAACATAACTTTAGTCCTTTTGCAACCAAAACCACTATAGTGTGCCCCAGAACCAATATTTGGACTTCTGAAGACAGTATTTTTATTGTGATTATGCAATTTGAAGTACTTTTATTGTACTGCAAGTCATAATTGCAATTTCATCAATAAAGGGCTACTTCAGTTGAATTGAACCTCAAGTCTGTAGTATAGCATCCTGGTGTGTTATGTTGAATTCTTGTTTTGCATGTCACTTTACACATGCACACACTGTTCACTTAAATAATATTTTTTGAACCACTGTGGTCATCATCAGGTTCAATTCCCTGCTTCTTTGTCATTGCACTGAGGATCTCCTCCCTGATGTCCATAAATAATGATAAAACAATGCACCACAACACATACAACTCAAATAAAACACACCAGTACTTTCCAGGCTGTGATAAAAACAAATTATAAGAACATTTTTGATAATCATCTTGACATTTTAACTTTTAACTAAATTATAAATGTTTTAATATTCAGTTTTATCATTATAAGTTGCATCACACAGACAATAAGGTTAAGTAACCCCGCTTATATAAACAAATGCAACTAAGATATACTAAAAAAAAATTTATTGATTATACAATTTTTATAAAATTTCACAGTATCTTGTTACTTGAACAATAATAATTTACACACATGTTTGTATGAACAGTGTTCAATAAATTTAATACAATATGATACTATATACATAGAAGCTAAATGAAAAGTCATAATTTGGAACTTCTACTTAAAACTGGAGCTAATCATGGAGGAACGGATGTGTGAATCCGTAATCCATGCATATCTTTGATTTCTTCTTTCAGTGCCTGTGGAAGACAAAAATAAATTAGTTATGGGAATAGTATGTAAATGAAACAAAGAATCAAGTTTCAGTGACATATTATGTAAACTTAAATCTTCACCTTTAAACCCTTTGTTGGCATTTAAATAGCTACCTCCTCTGAAGTGAGTAGCCATTTAAAATCTGCACTGTAAGAGTTCTGTAGCAATATTTACTTTAAATGTGAACTGTTTTTCAATTTTACAACAAAACAGGAATTATATGACCATCAGATCAACAAGCAGTGACTTGAATCTTCAGAGAGTAAGATTTGCTTGTCATCCGTTGATGACAACTGAAAATATATAGCCTAGTTTACATCACCTGGTAACAAACCTGCCTCTATGTTGTCCAGTATGGATGCCAACTTAATTAATGAGTCTACCTTGGCTTTCTAACACAAGGGGTTCATTATTGATGTCTAGAGTGAGGGGATCACACTATAAATTCTTAACACTATATGAGCAGAATTTTTGTAATGGTACTTACCTTGTGCCAGATCCTCCACCTTAAGCTAGAAAATCATTACACAGTCACTATTCCCTGTCACTGTCACCTTTCTTTTGAAAAGAGATTCATGTAAATTCTGACCTAGAATATTTCATTTTTACCTCATTTATTATCCTGTGTTGTTTGACCATGCTCAAGCCTTTGAACTCTGGAGTCTCAACCATGATCTCAAACATTGCACCACAACCACCTGTTAAAAAAATTGAAAATTAGACATTTAATGTTTATTAAACACTTTGAAGGTATATAGAAGTATGGGAATAATGAATAGGGCAAGTTAGTCAATTATGTGCCATTTAAACACATATTTGATGTGCCAGTAGTGCTCAGTCTTTGTTCAAATAGCAAATTATACAAACAGTATCAACCGTTTCAATCATAAATGTATTATTTCATATTTTTGGTATGGCTGTAATATGAGAATTGTAGACTTACATGTAAATTAAATCAATATTATACAAATGAATTCAGTCTTGTATAATGTGTTCTTACATTCACAGACCATATACTAATTTTACAGCCAATCAAAAAGCATTCTATGTACTACAGTGAAACAATCCCCCACCTCTTCAAACTTATTTCTTCACTGCAATTTGAAACAGCACTCAAACAATTTATTTTGACTTGCCTCTACTCTTTAGATACACTTATTTTACTAAGAAATGACTAACTGATATAATAACATCTGATTGTAAAGGTTGTGTATAAAAGTGCATACAATTTTACATATTACGAGGCGCGTCCACAAAGTAAGTTTCCCACTCGTCCCACAGCTAGCAAACCTTATATTGCGCGACGGACAGCGAGTCTCCTGCAGGAGTTCAGCTGGGAGGTGTTTGATCATTCACCCTACAGCCCGGACCTCGTTCCCAGTGATTTCCATCTTTTCCTACACCTCAAGAAATTCCTGTCCTGTCAGCGTCAGCGTTTTGAGAATGACAGAGAGGCGGAGATGGTTGTCACACAGTGGTTCCAATCCCCGGCGGCAGACTTCTACGACACAGGTATTCAAAAGTTGGTCCTACGGTATGACAAATGTCTCAATTCCGGTGGCGAATATGTTGAAAAATAGCTGGACACTTGCTGTATCTGTTGCAATAAATATTTCCATGAAATTGTGTTTTGTTTCTGTAAACGGCCCCAGGGAAACTTACTTTGTGGACGAGCCTCGTATATTGAAGTATCCTAATATGAATGATAATATATATGGACATTCTTACTGTTTATGGTAATGGGGTGTAAGGAAATATTGTGTTTCTGAGTATAATGTAGAAATGAGCAACAATTGATGGTGTAATATACAGTTTGGTCTATTATAGTGTATTTTACTCATGAAAAAGCTGTCACTATTGTGTTTCTTGGTATTTTATGAATGTGATACTGTTTTCTGACTTATACTACACTCTGCTTTCTGGGATCTGTGGATGCATCTATCTCTATCTACCTGTGAATATTTGCCCTAAGGTCATCTCCTCAAGAAGATTACACCTTCTTGTGTATGTGTTTTAACATTAAAATATTATTTCTGTATCCTGTTAATGACCAGTCTTATGTCATACAATAAAGAGGTTATGGAACACTGAATGACATGGCTGAAAGACATGAATTGTGTAACAAAGGGGATGTGAGAAGAATGTATCCATGGCTGATTTTAAATTACAATAACAGCATTGGCCTCTTGGGGTTGAAGAGAAGCAAATGGAATAAGATTATTCAGGTTTAATTTTGTGGTGAACTTAGGTTCATAAAGCCCACAGAAACTTCTGCATATTATTTATGAAGTGGTATAACATACGATAATTATGCATGTGCCCCAAAGATTTGCCCAAACGAACACAACTAATGCAAAAACTGGTACGCATTTGCCTTTAATGTTCTTGTATAATTAAATTCGGTTACCTGATATATCAGTAACTTCAATCGTCTTTGCATGTGGAAACTGCTGATGTAAAATATCTTTCACCTTCTTTTCTGTGGTGTTTCCAGAGACTGCTTGAGGCCCATTCCAAAGCCGAGACAGGAGCTGTAAGGCATAACAATTATTTCCCTTGCAGTTTAAGACAATGTGTAATATGTATAATGAAATGTATGTGTACTAACCGAAAATGACCGTGAATTTATAATTTTGGGAATTTTACTCATAATTTTGTAGTGTTTGTATACTTTTGTAACTTATCGTTTTTCTTTCACCATGTTGCCCCATCCATTTAAATTTGTGCTAAACTTTTATATTCGAGATATCGTGGCAGTTGAGCAACTTGTGCTACAAAAACTTCACATATCCCTCGGTCACACTACCAATTGAGGGATATCACTTATTAGCACAGATAATTTCACGAAACCTACCACAGATAATCCGATCATTCTACTTTTTGATCTGTTGACGCATGTGTGATTGATGGATAGTTTACCAAATTAGAGATAGAGCCAACGAATGGTTGTTGAGAGTTGAAGGCAGGTTTGTACCTATGTGGTATCCGAAAATTAACCAAATAATTATCATCATCATTAGACCAGAGTTTAATCACAATATTCTAAAGGTAAAAAAAAAGCAATGTATAAGGGTAAGGTAGGCGAAAGCATCACGTACAAAACAAAGAAGATGGCTGTGTTTCGGGTTGTTGCACCGTGTAGTCTGGTGAACACAGAAGAAATCCATCTTCATACTCACCTCCGTCTTTAAGATTCATGAAAGTACCCACCCGATTTGTAATGACGTCTGGACCATAATTCATTAGGATCAATACCTGTTGGTGACTGGTTCACATTTTTGGAGAAGGGTATAAAGCTGTTTGGTTGAGCTGGTAATCTGTCCGCGAGTGCTGGATGAAGCATATAATTTCTGGCATCGAAAGGGAAAAGAAGGGTAAGACAATTCTTTTTTAAGTAATTAAGCAAATGAACCATCAGTGGTGGAATCTGGTTATGTGAATAATAGATATCAAGCAATTAAACATTCTTAGACGTCATTTAAATTCGCATTATAAAATGAAGTAGGGCGTGAAGTCTCCGTTCAAGAATTTGTAGTTAATGACTTGCTTTTAATTCTTTTTGCATACCTAGTTAGTGGAAGCCATTAATTTTTAAAACGTCATTTCTCTTTAAGTGAATGTCAGCAAGAAGTTCAAGATGTCTGCCGTCTACTATAGTTCTTCACCTTCCAGGTTTTCAGAATAAATTACAATAATTTAGAAAGGATTCGTTCACTCTCACATAATTTTGACAAATTTCGTTTTAGGCCGTAAGATGTTTCAAAATATAAATAGCTGGGCAATTTGGAAAGGAGCACATTTCTAGAACAGTCGCAGGTTAAGAGCACTTTCCTGATAATGTGCGATACCCACATTTTAAGATTTTGCATTTGCCTGTAGTTGGGGGATGGGAATTTATGTAAGGGAATTGTTTAGTATGAACTGTATGTTGTATGGTACGTTTTAAAGGCACGTGTGAGGTTGGGAATAGAGATAATATTTGTGTGATTCATAACAACATAGGAAGTAAAAATTTCAAACAAACGCAGAGTTAAAGATTCTTAATTCGCATTCATTTTATTTTGGCACTCAAAACAAATCCGAAAATATAGTTGGTGCACACTGGATAGGGGAGTGAAAGACATTCAGACACATGAGTATTGTAACTACATAAACCAGTGAACAGGAAATGCAAATATTATTAAAACTATTTTTAGTGTTATAATGGATACTAGAATGTGTGGAACTTTCTCTCCATTTCCTTTATGCCTTCATGAGTGACTTGTATGTCCAGGGGCAACTTAACCTTTCTTGTAAAACTGTTTCAGAATAGTTATAAGTTGAATATGAAAATTTTGGAGTTACAGAGTGCTAACACTACAGAAGGTAAATTAAGAAATTATAGAATATTCTGTTGGGACAGATGTATTTAAGTCTTTCCTCATTGTACTGTACAATCTGTCTCATAACCTGTAATGCATTTTAGAAGTGATGAACCAACAGAAAGAGCACATCATTATCCAAAGTACAGCAGTGTGAAAATCTTAGTTTGTATTTACTGTACAGGCTTTAATACTGTAATCTTACTTAGAAACAGAATTATGGCAATTTTTAAGTAGGTTTTTGCATCATGGATGTGTGGTCTGGAGACATTATTATCCCCCCGGTCCTTTGCGCTTAACTTGCAGTACGTGATCAGCCATGGTATTGTGTGAATGTGCCATAAATATTGCATTGCAGCTATTGATGAAGTATAAAATCAAAATAACTGGACCTTTCATGCATCTTTTGAGTAAGACTAGCTTATGTTTAATTCCAGATGTACCTAATAGGAAAATTCTTTTCAGTAGTTTCCAAAACAGCCTGAAATGAGTTGCCTTTAGACCAGTTAGGGCCACAGTTCTAGCAAATTTTGTAAATCATGTTAGAAAATCCATTTCATTAAAATCTTCAATTTCAGAAACAAAACATTACATAGACTGAACAACTATAATTTGGCATCACTTATATGTATAGGGTCTACAAGCTCACAAAATGTAATAGAAATTAAAAGGGATTGGGTTGAAAATCTTGTTGTTTTGACGTGGAGTGGCAGTCTGCATGCACAGCTTTTACAGGGGCTGTGCAGAATTCTGCATGTGCTTTAAAGGTAGGAATGAGACTGGATAGGTACTTTAAATTCTGAATGGCACTGCTGGTTACAGTGAATGCTGTGAATAGGAACTGACTTGCAACTAATGCGTGTGATTGATGGATAGTTTACCAAATTAGAGATAGAGCCAACGAATGGTTGTTGAGAGTTGAAGGCAGGTTTGTACCTATGTGGTATCCGAAAATTAACCAAATAATTATCATCATCATTAGACCAGAGTTTAATCACAATATTCTAAAGGTAAAAAAAAAAGCAATGTATAAGGGTAAGGTAGGCGAAAGCATCACGTACAAAACAAAGAAGATGGCTGTGTTTCGGGTTGTTGCACCGTGTAGTCTGGTGAACACAGAAGAAATCCATCTTCATACTCACCTCCGTCTTTAAGATTCATGAAAGTACCCACCCGATTTGTAATGACGTCTGGACCATAATTCATTAGGATCAATACCTGTTGGTGACTGGTTCACATTTTTGGAGAAGGGTATAAAGCTGTTTGGTTGAGCTGGTAATCTGTCCGCGAGTGCTGGATGAAGCATATAATTTCTGGCATCGAAAGGGAAAAGAAGGGTAAGACAATTCTTTTTTAAGTAATTAAGCAAATGAACCATCAGTGGTGGAATCTGGTTATGTGAATAATAGATATCAAGCAATTAAACATTCTTAGACGTCATTTAAATTCGCATTATAAAATGAAGTAGGGCGTGAAGTCTCCGTTCAAGAATTTGTAGTTAATGACTTGCTTTTAATTCTTTTTGCATACCTAGTTAGTGGAAGCCATTAATTTTTAAAACGTCATTTCTCTTTAAGTGAATGTCAGCAAGAAGTTCAAGATGTCTGCCGTCTACTATAGTTCTTCACCTTCCAGGTTTTCAGAATAAATTACAATAATTTAGAAAGGATTCGTTCACTCTCACATAATTTTGACAAATTTCGTTTTAGGCCGTAAGATGTTTCAAAATATAAATAGCTGGGCAATTTGGAAAGGAGCACATTTCTAGAACAGTCGCAGGTTAAGAGCACTTTCCTGATAATGTGCGATACCCACATTTTAAGATTTTGCATTTGCCTGTAGTTGGGGGATGGGAATTTATGTAAGGGAATTGTTTAGTATGAACTGTATGTTGTATGGTACGTTTTAAAGGCACGTGTGAGGTTGGGAATAGAGATAATATTTGTGTGATTCATAACAACATAGGAAGTAAAAATTTCAAACAAACGCAGAGTTAAAGATTCTTAATTCGCATTCATTTTATTTTGGCACTCAAAACAAATCCGAAAATATAGTTGGTGCACACTGGATAGGGGAGTGAAAGACATTCAGACACATGAGTATTGTAACTACATAAACCAGTGAACAGGAAATGCAAATATTATTAAAACTATTTTTAGTGTTATAATGGATACTAGAATGTGTGGAACTTTCTCTCCATTTCCTTTATGCCTTCATGAGTGACTTGTATGTCCAGGGGCAACTTAACCTTTCTTGTAAAACTGTTTCAGAATAGTTATAAGTTGAATATGAAAATTTTGGAGTTACAGAGTGCTAACACTACAGAAGGTAAATTAAGAAATTATAGAATATTCTGTTGGGACAGATGTATTTAAGTCTTTCCTCATTGTACTGTACAATCTGTCTCATAACCTGTAATGCATTTTAGAAGTGATGAACCAACAGAAAGAGCACATCATTATCCAAAGTACAGCAGTGTGAAAATCTTAGTTTGTATTTACTGTACAGGCTTTAATACTGTAATCTTACTTAGAAACAGAATTATGGCAATTTTTAAGTAGGTTTTTGCATCATGGATGTGTGGTCTGGAGACATTATTATCCCCCCGGTCCTTTGCGCTTAACTTGCAGTACGTGATCAGCCATGGTATTGTGTGAATGTGCCATAAATATTGCATTGCAGCTATTGATGAAGTATAAAATCAAAATAACTGGACCTTTCATGCATCTTTTGAGTAAGACTAGCTTATGTTTAATTCCAGATGTACCTAATAGGAAAATTCTTTTCAGTAGTTTCCAAAACAGCCTGAAATGAGTTGCCTTTAGACCAGTTAGGGCCACAGTTCTAGCAAATTTTGTAAATCATGTTAGAAAATCCATTTCATTAAAATCTTCAATTTCAGAAACAAAACATTACATAGACTGAACAACTATAATTTGGCATCACTTATATGTATAGGGTCTACAAGCTCACAAAATGTAATAGAAATTAAAAGGGATTGGGTTGAAAATCTTGTTGTTTTGACGTGGAGTGGCAGTCTGCATGCACAGCTTTTACAGGGGCTGTGCAGAATTCTGCATGTGCTTTAAAGGTAGGAATGAGACTGGATAGGTACTTTAAATTCTGAATGGCACTGCTGGTTACAGTGAATGCTGTGAATAGGAACTGACTTGCAACTAATGAGCAGGCAGATTGTTGTTTTCTGTGTTAGTTGGTAGGGACACTGCTACCACAATGATTCTGAAACATCCACTATGCAGTTAATGGTTGTACTCGTGATGCTTTGAAATAAAGTGACTGTCTTAATTTTGTCTTGTTTACATATGGGCACCCAATACTGCATAATCCTTGTTGCACAAAGTTCCTAAGCAGACCTGTAAGCCCACTTACAAGAGCAGGTTATGCACATTACACCTGCACGAGAGTGTGATTTCCTTCACAAGTTGTTGTTGAACATGGAAAGATTTGGGTGCAACAGTGACATGCGTGCACTAGAAGAAATTGAATACATTATTAGTGCTAATTACCCAGGATTTGTCAGTAGACAGTTGCAGCCTTATTTTTAGCATTAAATTCAAGAACTCTTTAATGTCAGTTATTATAAAAAAATTCTTGCCAATTTGCTAATTTTAAAATTGTTAGCCATATTCATAATTTTCTTGGTTATTTCTTAATTTGTGACCCCCAAAGTGTATTTCCTGATCTTTACCCAAAAGACCTTCATTATTTATGTACTGATGTTTAGTAGTTTACACATGATCACATTTATGTTTCCATTCTTTAAGATGGAAGCAAATTTATTGTCAGTACATTTAACCCCTTGATGTTCAATAGTAACTGCTTACCCCCTGCTCTATCAAACAATAGTGCGGTTTAGTCATACATTGTTTTCTGTATGTTTTGATTATACTCCGAATAATTACTGTCTTTTAACAGCATTAACCAGTTGATCTTTGTAATGAAGAGGGTTTGTCTCCTCTTCGGTGTAGGAATGAAATTGTAAATAGTTAGATGAGGTCATCCAAGGATTAGTAATGTTATCCAACTCCAAGTTAAAACATTTCTAGTAACCCAGTTCTCAATCATTTCCCAAATCAGCTCAGAAGACGAGTTAATCACACTTCGGTTGTAGTTTTCAATAAAAGTGGAGTTAGTGGAAAGCAGACAGAAAACAGGCATGTTACCCTTTCATGCCGTGGACCTTGGCTTCTGAAATAGTGTTTGAAGTTATGTGCATGTGGTGTGGTAGCTTAGAGGACAAAGCTGGTGGCTTGTGTTGGGGTCCTTGGTTCAATTCCATGTGCTACCTCTTTTCTCTGTCTGTCTCCCTCCTATAGTAAAACATTTCAGAAGCTATCACAATTCATGTATTTAGATTTGTTTTTGTTTATAGGTACACTTCCATATTTTTATTTGCATTGTATCAGTTTGTTGTTAGGTTGCACTTCCATAGGCCGGCCAGTGATGCGGTTTCAGCATTTTGGTTCATGATTATTGATTAATATCAATAATTTATTTAAATAAATTAATGTTCCTTGCTTGTCAATCATTTAATCTGTGTGAATATATTTCACATATAGAAAAATTAAATATGTGACTTGTGGAATGCTTGGATTCATATTAATTAGTTACAAATCTGATTTGCACATTTCTTCTGCATATGGAATTCTTTTCTTGTTTAACCATGATGTTATTATGCTTTTTGTGGAATCTGATAGGGTTTGCTTCACTTGGAACTTATGATGGGAGGATTTTCTGTGACTACAACACTGTGTGAAAATACATTCAGAATTATTTCTTCTTTCAGCCACTTCTTGTAATTTCTCAAATTCATATTCTGTTGGGATTGGCTGTAGAAAACTTTTCCCTTTAACTTATTCTTAACAGGTGGCATTGTGAAGGGAATCAATGTTTTCTAAATGTCGGTACATGATGCACCAAGAACACAATGTTAACAGTTTTTGTTTGAGCAACCCATACTCACCCTACATTCCTTATCTTAGTGAACTCAACCAAATTCACTTCTCATTCTGTTGCAAATGGCCAGGCTTAAAAATTTGGACAGTAGTATAATTTTACTGAGACTTCAGAATGTGTGGCATATAGACTGACCATCATTAGCTTTAAGAAAAGTAACTGTGAAATGGTTTAAAATGTAACCGAAGAAAAGGTAACTACTCAGTGGTACTGTCTGTTGCTCGGGAGAAAAGCTTTGACCTTTGCAGTGCTGGCAGATGTTGAGGGGGACATGGATCTTGCCCAAAATATAAGGCTTTAGCTATGCTTAATATTTTTATCTGCTCTCCCATCTACTCTGTTACACTGTTGCAACCAACTCCACAATAGTTTGCTTTTCTTTCATGTGCATGGCAAATAAGCAGAATCAGACTCTTCTCCACTGCTTCATGTTTACATGGGCAATTCACATGATTTATTATCTCCTTAGTTTCACTGTAACAGTTGTACCCTTCTTTTGACTGCTGGCCATTTTTAAAGTGCTTAGTTTTTACCACAAACAAATATAAAACAGCAAATAATAGAAAATAAAGTTGAATTAATTTGCACACAGAACTCAACTGGACTTTGGCACAGTGTTTTCTTAACTGCAATACATTGATTACTAGCCACATATTTACTGCCAAGGTCAGAGCTTCTCTCCTAGCTAATAAACAGTAGTAGCTTAAAATCCATTGCTCACTGGACCTATAAAAACATTGTTGACATAGGGTGCGTGTAATGAAAAGTATATCATCCTAGAGAAGGCACATTACCATAGTCTTGCCGTTTGTGTATGTATCCAGGGCCTTTTCTTGGTGGAAGTGCATTCCAGAATATCTTCATGAAGGAGAGGAGAGCTTGTGCTTTCTTATCATGTAACTGCATTTACTTGATAGTAAAGGATGATATTTCTGTTCTGTTTGAGAATTCTTACAAAGAATATTAGCACTTTCCCTCCTGTCCTGAGTTAAACACTGCATATTGACACAAGAACGAAGAATGTGGTATTGGCCCCTTCTTAAGGCTCAGAGAATGGCGAGTATGATCAGGGCTCAAGGCTAGCTCAACCAGGGTTCCCAGCAGATAGGCTTTCTCTCCCCCTCCTACCAGAAACAGAATCCAGATTTCCAAATTTTGTTATTTATGCGGTTAGAGAATTACAAAAGAACAATTTTACATATAACATACTGTTGTCAGAAACCTTTAGACTTGACTAAAAGTGACATGTGCATAAAAGTAAACCATTAAGTGAGACTTGATAAGCACTTGCAGCTTGGGCCTCATACTGTGCAGTACCAGTGTAGCACACCTAACAAATCAGATTAGCAAATAATGCTCTTTGAATGATGGAAGATAAAGATGGTATAAAGTATGCATGGAAGTTTGGCCTTGCACGTGTATGTTTATGTAACTAGGCAAAGAGAAGAAAAAAACTGCAGCATGTATTATGAGCCCTACAGTGATAGCCATGGCCCTAATGATGAGTAACAGACTGAGAATATGAATATTACACTTAATATGTGTCATTGCTACACTGCTTGTATATTAGGTTATACATCATGTAACTAATGGACCATTCCAGCATAAGAATATGAGATGGTAGAAAAACATATGTCCTAATTTCTACCTTTTATCCTAGAAATGTGTCTATTGTTGCATTCTAATGAACTCCATCGAGCAGAGTCCTCAAAGTTAATACATAGTACCCTTTCAGTAAATTGCTTTCCTTTTAAGGAATGTGTAGGTTCATTACTGTGCTCACAAGAGCCAGCCAGTAGTTCCTATGCTGAGCCAAATCAATCCAATCCAAACCCTCCAACCCTAGTTCTGTAAGATCCAGTTTAGTATTGTCCTCCTTTCTTCACATAGATGTTCTTCAGGCCTTCCAACCAAAATTTTGTAAACATCTCTCATCTCTCAATGCATGCTGTGAGCCATGCCTTATTTGATCATCCTGATAATATATGAAGTGTACAAATTATTATATTATATATATAAAAGGTTCACGTGAAAGTTGATCTTAGTGTGGTTTATATTTTGTTAGGCATGAATGTTTTTGAGGAAACCTAAAATAACTGAAAGAAATGTGGGTACACATGTTATGATCAAACAAAACAAGTGTTCTCTCTCCTTGCTGTTGTATCTGTTCCTGGTGACATCAGAGAATGCTGTTCTGCAAGTAAAATCGTAAGTTGCTATCACCTAAAGCCACTGGACTGATTTGTTTCCTTTCTTTACAGCTCTGTATGTATAAATCCAAACTTCACAACTGTAACATTACAAGCAAAATGACGAAACACCTTGCAATGTTACATGATATATGAACACAGTGCCACAATAAACTGTGTTGAAAAAAAGTTTGAAATTACCTACAATTCTAGTAATGAATTGAATAATAACATGGTAATTTCCCGAGTATGGCAGTAGACATAAAAATCCCCCAGTCTTGTTACTGGATAATTATGCGTGTAATTTAAGATATTGCACAAGGCATAATTGTCCCATAAGTTTTGAGATTTTTTTGTTTCCCACTCCCATACTGGTGAAATTACGTTCTTACATCAGTAGTAAATTGCCATCTTATTACTCATTTCAGTAATAGAATTGTAGAAAATTCCAAAATGGATATTTGTCCAATAAAGTTTTCCATTATATATATGTGCACGTGCACATACAAGTCCTAACACTAATTTGCAAGTTTTGCGTCATATATGCCCCTTTTGCTCGTAATATCACTTATGACGTTGACATTACAAATTGCGACTAACAAAATGTCGTAAAAATTCACTGACGAAACAAATTACTTGCAGTATTATTACTATTGGTCTGAATAGTGTCATGGCGCTGATACTTTTGATGCATCGTGTGCGCAGCAGAGTGCGTATTCGGTATTACTATGGCGGGTCTAGGTCTTGGACAGAACCAACATAAGCACGATTAATCAGGGCACTCGAGGATGTGAAGTAAACGAAACTCTAAGTTAGTACAAGAGGCTTGGTGGTCTGGGGGATATGAGCCAAGACTAGGACCCCAGGAATATATTAGACCACCAGGAACAACTCCACAATTCATCAGGAAGTTCCAAAATTATTATTACTAAGAAAGCCTCGTGGTCTAGGGGGAAAAGACACTAGACCAGTAATGCAGAAATCGCAAGTTCGATCCCACCGGGCGGCAGGAGATTTTTGTCAGCAACTGAAAGAGCCATCTGGTAACGAATTTTTGTAGCTGCACTAGTAAAAAAATTTTATCAGCGTGGCAGCAATTTTTAGTTCCAAATTTCGCCACCGAAATTTTTCTCAGTGCAGTAACAATACTTAGTTCCACATTTTGCCGATAGATGGCGTACAAATGCACTCTGTAAACTTTTAGTGTAATTTGTCGATAACAGATGGCGTATGCATGCACTTAAAATAAACAAAAAAATTATTAGTGGCAGGAATTTTACTTTGTACGCTAAATTTCTCATATTTCGTAGTTCCAGATTCGCCAACAGATGGCATGAGTATGGACTAAATCAAATTATAGTACCATTTGTTGCCAAGAGATGGCGTATGCATGCACTTAAAATTGTCGAAAAAATTATTAGTATGGCAGGAATTTTACTTTTTACGCTAAATTTCTCATATTTCGTAGTTCCGACTGTGTTAATAGATGCCACGAGTATGCACTAAATGAAATTATAGTACCAATTGCCAATAAGAGGTGGCATATGCATGCACTCAAAATCAGCAAAAAGAATTAGCATAAAGCGAATTCCATTTCATACACTAAATTTCTATTTTAGTTCCAGTTACTCAATAGATGGCAGGAACACGCACTAAAACTGCCACTAATAAATTATTAGCGTAGCAAGAACAAATGAATATTAGTTAGTTCCAAGTTAGTGCCAATACATGGCAAGTTAATAAAACTAAATCTTTATTGAACTACAAACAGCACATTAATGTATGGATTGAAATATTCTTGTCCAGCTGTTAATTTGTAAAGTGATTTGAATAAAATTAATAGTTGGACAAGTATGAAAAATGCATACCTCTAGAAACTGCTCAAACAAAACAATCAACACTAGAATGGAATTCCAACACACAGAAATACAAGACACATGTACGACAAAGGAGAAATGTGAAATGTAGACAATTTTATATGCTGCAGAGAAATTATTACAAACAGTAAAAGTTACTTTATGTATCTTGACATTTATGAGTCTTAAAATGTTTGTTGTAAACCACTTGCTACATACACAATTCAAAGTGGTGTTCTAACAACCTAACCACCTAGTGTGCATTGATAACGAGGGCTGTCAGTTACCAATATGTAGACAATACAACAAAAACAGTGTGAAAAATATAACACTGGCAGAGCCCTTGCATTCAAAACATTTCTCATGGGTAAATACTTTTAATGCAACATTCCTCAACCTTTTCAAATGTGGCAACATAGAACATAATCCAGCATGTCAAGATACTCCAAACAGCATTTTCCAACACAGTTTACTTGACTTAAGCACAGAAATTTAACAGCATTGTAAGAATGGACAATACGCGATTAACATGACAAGACACAGGAGAAATTCAATTTATGAAATGCTATTCTGGGTAACACATTGGGAAGCAGCAGCACAGAATGATAAAATTACAGAACAGGCTAAAAAACATCTTTCCAATTACCACACCTTACTGTTAAATGCAAAGAAAAGAATGTCTGATCTACATTTATGGAAGGTTCTGATATAAAACAATTCCCTTCTTCTATTCACTTTGCTGACATTTGAAAATTGCTAACCTTCACAAACATGCACCAATAAATAAAGCTGTTAGTTACTTCTGAGTAGCATAATAAAATACATATGCATGATTATGTTACTGTAAAATCAAATGCACATAATGTGTGTCCTTTCATAATTATATTTAATAAAATATAAGAATGAAAAACTTCAGCTATTTCTTTTAACACTACATAACAAAAGCTATTCCTATCCTTTCAAACTTTTGCAATAACCAATCCTGTCAAAATCTAAATTTTTACAACACAATTTCTCAAAGCTAAAACTTCAATGGAGTTTAATTTGAAGCAAGAGCACAAAATTTTTCTTCCCCACTATGCTCAGATTGGGTCCAAGACCCCCAGAGTACTGGCAGCTCTTACCCTGACCATTCATATCATCTACAAAAGATTCTTAACATCTAGAGTTTTGCCACAGCTCCCCCATACACATTTCAGACATATGCTGAAGCACAACTTTACCTCTTACTACAAAACTCTGTTCTGTAATTGCATCAGTAAATGTAAGAACACAACATACTAACATCTTCATCTTATGTTTTACCTTGATCTGGTCTCCCTACAAGTGTGCTGGGTTAAACCATTATCTCCTCTTCATGCAGCATCTTTCATTTCCATGTTGCAGTAAATTCAGTTCCAGCCATACATCATAGTAAAAGATAGCTACTGTCTACTACACAATGAACCTTCTCCTTATTTACATCTAGATGTTTATTAATGAATGAGTTACTGTAACTATACTCATGTTTCTTTCTACACTTTCACAATGGTAAAAACCACAAAATTTAAATGGTACCAGAGACCTTCCATCAGACACTGCAAAGATAATGAGGGAAGGCCAAATTTTCACTGGTCCCCAGCAAGTAATAATGCCACAGTTCCTAGATGATGGACAGTAAGAATTTTACAGATTATGAAGTATCATAGTCACAAGCTTCCAGGCAAGCATGTAACATTTTGGGCCACAACCAGTAGTAATAATGCAATTTTAACCAACACATTAATGATCACAATTAAAACACTTTTATTATAATGTTATTATACAACCTAAAAGTTGTTTCTTCTTCACTTTCCTTCATTTAATGTTTAACTGAATAACAGGGTTTTGGTACTCAATATTTCTTGTAACTGATTTGTTCATTTAACTGTAATAATTTTCTCTGTTATTTGTAAATTGTAATTCAAGTGTTATGTTACTGAATGTAGAACTGTGTAGTGAATTACATTAAGAAAATAATTTTACTATTATAAATTTTAGTTTTCACTATTTAATATGTTTTATCAATCTTGTCAAAAAAGCCATAAGAACCAATTTTCATTTCCTTAGAATCTGCTTTTGTTTTAGTTTCCTAAACCTGGAACACAAGTTCAGGCATGCACATTTTCAAAATCTGTTAGCAGTTCTAAGATGCAAGGTCTCTGACACCAAACACACACTCTCAAATTTGCAATTAGCATTTCTGGACCATTTCAAAGGAATAAATATCTGCTACACTGTACACATTATTTTAGCTACATCTGTATATGAAACATGTTTCAATAGATCATGTCCAACAGGCAGACCAAAGCAAAAACCAGTTTTATCTTATCACAGCAATATCACCCACTCTGTTCAGCTAAACTGTCACTCAGATGGCCCACTAACTAACTAGATGGCTTACCGAACCCGAAGATTCATCACCGAATTAACCAAAACCCTCCACCAGACCCTGTCCTGGGCCAACAAAATCCAGTCTCCTTCAACTCCTATCTCCCATAGATCCCGCCTGACATTATCATCCCATCTGCGTCTAGGTCTCCCCAGTGGTCTCTTCCCCTCAGGCTTCCCAACCAATACCCGGTGCACACCTCTTGTCCCATTCATGCATGCTACATGCCCCGCCCATCTAATTCTTCTCGACTTAATCACCCTGACAATACTGGGGGAGGAGTACAGATTTTTAAGCTCATCATTATGCAGTTTTCTCCATGAAAGAGTAAATTTCTTGGGGGAAAAAATGCTGCTGCGTAACTCCTATCCCTGCATGGACTATTGTATTGTAATTGGCAAACAAGTTGGAGTGTAGGCAATGTCACAATTCCAGAAAATTTATAGCAACTGTAATAGTAATTTAAAACACATCTGACTATGGACTTGACTGCTACCTAGAACTGAAACCCATGAAAATATTTTTAAAATATGTGGCCAAGACTTGTGACGCAACCACTACAAGCTGCCTGCAATGGTTGAACACACAGCAAGTAGTTTCCCATGGTTATATATTCAGTGGAAGTTGGAAGATAAAATTTGGTCTCAGTCCATCTACACACAAATTGTTTTATAACTCTACATAAAACTTAACTCTAGACTTACAACCCAAACTGACAATATTTATTACAAGTAAACTGAAAACAAAAAGCAAAATCACAGTACAAACCATTAAACCTTACCAATGACAGATCAGGGAAGCAAAAGGGATATTATTTTAGAGAAACCAGATATCACACGTTTATCAACACACTGAGATGTGGGCATTTAATGGGCCTAAACTTTTAAAATATGCAATAACCATTGCAATTAAAAATATTCAATTTCATGTGAGCAACTGAGCTATATTTCAGTCAATGAATGAATAACAGGATATGACAGTTTCACATCTGTATGCTTCACACTTTAAGAATAAGGAAATACAGAATGGTAAAACATATGGATACTGTCAAAATTTTAAAAAAAACATAAAGGTGAATAAAATGTACCGAAGTTCAAATATTTGGAAACAATAAAAAATCAGAATTGCATTCACAATGAAATTAAGTACAGAGTAAATTCAGCGAATGCTGTCTACCTGGATGTTACGAAAAATTTACAATTAAAATATACAAATACAAAGGTCACTCTAAAATAAATGCCCCACATTTTTTTAAAAAACTTTTTATTCCAGAGGCTTGCAATTTTCAGTTTGTAGGTAAATTCTTCCTGCTTCTATTCATGGTTAGTTCATTCACTTCCTGCTAGTGATGTTAAAACATGCGTTCAAAATGGCGACTGCACTTGACATCCATCAGAAGCAACATACTGTAATTGAATTTTTGATGTGAGAAAGAGACAGTGGGAAACACCCACAAGCTATTACAGAAGGTGTACGAACCAGAAACAAAGACTCAATCAATGGAGTGGCATCATGCTAATTCCCCACAGAAGAAGAAATTCAGTTGCCTCTTCTGCAGGAAAGGTGATGGTGACAGTTGTGTGGGACATGGAGGAACTTCTTGTGAATATCATGCCTTAAGGAACCACCATCAACTCAGAGGTATATGTGGTGACATTAACAAAACTTCATGCATATTTGCACCTTGTTTGACCACACACAAGCAGATGGCAGACATCCTGCTCCAGCATGACAATGCCCATCCTCACGTAATTCTGTAAGCCACGGAGGCCATCAACAAATTAAGGTGGATGGTATTGCCACACTCACCTTACAGTCTTGGTGTGTCACTATCAGACTACCATCCTTTCTTCAAACTGAAAGACAGCCTTCATGGTTCCAAGTTCAAAAACAATGAGTCTCTCTAGGCAGCAGCAAAAAATTCCCTAAGGAATGCAGGTCCTCAGTTTTACATAGTGGGTATACAAACACTTGTTAAGAGGTGGAAGAAAGCAGTTGTGAGAAGAGGTGATAATGTGGAAAAACATGATTTTTCTCCCAAAGGATGTACCTATAAAATGTATCAATAGCAATGCTATAGAATAAATACTGATTTCTTAGAAAAATGTGGGGCATTACATTTGGAGGTATCCTCATATAACTGTACCTACTGTTTTGTACGTGTGTAAAGTCTGGTCTCTCATGTTAAGGGAAGAACACACAATGATGAGGCATGAGAACAGGTTGCTTAGGAGAATACATAGACATAAGAAGGATGAGTGACAGGAAGCTGGAGACAACTACATAATGAGAATCTCCACAATTTGTACTCTTCACCAAATAATATGGCCAAGAAATCCAGATATTTTGGTTGAAAAGCCTGAAAGTAATATATCAAAATATAACCTTACATTGCATCTTGGGGAAATAGGGTTGGAGTGTTGAACATATTAATCTGGTTCAGCATAAAGACCTGTGGCAGGCTCTTGTGACACATTGTAATGAACCTTCAGGTTACACAAAAGGTGGAGAATTTTTTGACTAGATAAACATACTATTAACTTCTCCAGAAGGACTCTACTCCATGGATATATTAACTGACAATCTTTTCATTCCCAGCTAGTCAATTTTCTACAAGAATGTAAAATTTAATCTGTAGATACATAATTTGACAATGAATGTAAATTTGTGCCAAGTTTCTTTTTAGGAATGTTCAAAACAAATATTAAGCAAAACTTATCAAAACCATATGCATGTTCCCTGTGATACCACACAGTAATACATACATAGATGCACTGTCACCCTACAAGACTAGGGGTGCCCAAAACACTTTTGCAAACACTAAACAAAATAAGCGCCAAGGAAAATTGGTAAACATAGTATCTATGGACTAGACAATTGAGGTTTGACCCCAGCAGGGATAAAAGGATTTTTTCTGTAACTTTGGTGTCTAAACCTAGTGTGGGAACCATCCAGCCCGCTATCCAATGGGTACGGGGTCTCCTTTCTTGAGTGTGAACTAAGAACTCACCACCACCTAGTGCCAAGATCAAGAATGAGTAGGAGTCATACCTCCATCCTACCCCACCAATTATTCAATTAATGTTTTAAACAAAGTTTTTGAAGACAGACTGATAAATCAGAGATTACAGTCTGCACACTTTCCAGATTTAAAACCCTATGATTTTTATCTGCGGGGAAATTTACAAGACAAAAGTTTAATTAAAACAACTTTTTCAAGAGAGACAGTTAAAGAGTAGATGGAAGGCATTTCTGAACCATTTATTTAATTTCAGAAGTGCATGCACTTGTATAATACGACATTAACTACGACCAGAGATTCCTTTTTCTTGGCAAATGGTGGTCAAGTTGCTAGCACAGAAGCCAACAGCAAAATGAAAAAAAATTCAGTCACCTAATTCCCCATAATTAATATTACTGCCTTAAAAAAACTGTGCAGTGGTCACATTTCATGCCATACAGATCACTTTCTTGGATTCACTGAGAAAAAACACAAATCAGTAAGTTTACCTCACCACTGGACCAGATAAATCACTTCTTTAGTGTGTTTTTTATTCTTATGCTTCAAACTGTGTACTCTAAACAGAAAGATAACATGCACAGTCATAACAAAGGAGTACACTTGAAGATACAGTGCAATATTTTCAATGTATAGACACCAACACCATGGTTCAGGGTCCTTCTTAAGCAAGGTACTTTTTGGACAGAAAATTGTTCAGTTATCAAACATGAACTGTGTTGACAGTCAACTACTTCTTCTTCTCTTCTGTTACTTTATGATCCAATTTAATAATATTCCCTCCATCTATGCTTAGTACTATAGCTAAAATCCTCTACATATCTCTAGCTCACCTCAAGCATGCCTAATGTTTCATCTTCACTTAATAACTATACAACTGCTAAATTTATACAAACCATTAACCCTACAACAATAAGAAATTCATACAATCTGTGGCAAATCTGCCAATACATTTTTCCTTAACAAAACACATGTTTTACTCTAAAAGAATAAAGCTTGTAAAATAATAATTCTGCTTCGGATTTCATTTCTGTTTTTTGCATATTTGAAACGTGTATTTCCAATTACTATAATTGGTATCTTTCAAGCATAAGGCAATGCACAGTAATTGTCAACTCACTTAAAATGTCTTTGCATATACCCAACATAATGGGACAGCAATTAAACATTAGCACATGCTCTAAAATGAAGAGTGTGAAGTATTGGAAATGGAGCTTAACCTGTAGCAATTATATTGAAAAAATACATTTTTAAACAAAACTTACCTAGAGACTTTCAGCACTCATCACAAATGATGACAAACACTGAAAACAACAAACACATGCATACTTAACACGTCACTTAAGGAATTCATCTCAAAACCAAATTAAAGTGCATATGATCACCTTTGATTTTAATGAAATGCATGCTTGGGTCTTATAATTATGTAACACTACCTTCCTACATAACAAAATTTTGGATATACATTTTGTAAAAATCAAACTGCCCTTGAATTTTCAACAACTTTTACTCATTAATATGTTTATAACCCTAGCCCTAATCATGACAAAATATTTATACCATACTAAAACTAAAAATGGATTTCATTTGCTATGTTACTCACGGCTTTTAGGGCCAACTTGAACTTTAGGTCATTGATTTTTGATTCTCACCCTTAAATCTAGTGGCCTTAAGAGATAGCTCCAGAAGCCACCAAGAGTGTAGCTGAAAACCCACCTCCAACAAAATGGTGAACTAACTGCCTCTCAAACACCAAGTCTAGTTCAGAACTCCTGTAGATACCTGTAAATCGTTGCAGTCCCGACTTAAATACATGACCACCAATTCATGACCAAACCCAACTCATTGTACACATTTCAATTAACAATAACATTTACTTATATTGGTGCTTACAATTTCGAGTCAGACATGACTCCCCAGGTCTTAAGTCAGCAAACACCGACTAGATTAAGAAATGTTTCAAACACAAGTTTAGTCTTTAACATTAAACATAATTTGGTTATATAGAGTTTCTCTCCATACTACTTTAATTTGAAGATGGCTCTTAGTAAGTAGGATGTGGAATGAGTCTACATACAGCTCTTTCAGAAAATACCTACAAATAAGAGTGATAAGGAGAACGTGAACAAAAATGCAACCTGTAACCGGTCAAATTTTTGCTCCATACTGCTGGAATGAGAAAAAACAATACCCGGCAAATTGAATTGAAATAGAATTTGAAGGTGTTTCCTATTCATTTCAGACTACTGATGAGCCAATCACCATGTTTTTCCTTAACATAATTGTACACGCCTTTCGTAACTTGACGTTAAATTACTATCGGTAGGCGTACCATGTTTTTAACGATCTGATTCTGCCAACTGTCCAATGTAGCAATCCTGTCAGCGTCTTGTAACATCGCTGCAATTTAAATAGTTAAACGAGATTAAAGTACAAATCACACATTCCCGACGCGTGGCTTTTCAACGTAGCCTTAAATACAGCAATTTCCGAAATCAAAACTACCTACCTACAATATCTGTTAATGAAGAGCAATTCTTGCCGAGTTTATACGCACAAAGCGCACATTTATAACAGAAAAATCAAGAAACAACAACTACAAATCTGCCATTTTAAGAAGCACTGACAAGACATACTATGGCTACGCTGTATTAGGTACGTACGCGCAGGTTCCATCACAAGAAATACCAACATAACCATACTCCTGATTCTAGAATGTTCTAAACATATACCTAAAAGTAAACCATGATTATCGGACGCCGGAGTAGTTAAACAGCAATGTCATATGCAGAGAAAATAATCAACATACACATCGGCAAAAACTTTGCACAACGTTACAACGCAGATAACATCACCTTCTTACAAAATGCTAAAGTTCGCAACACATATGCCCTATGACGTCACGCAGATATCCTGCCACCTATACCCAGTGTTACAAAAACCACTACGAAGCGATCTGGTGAGAACAATTTGTATTAAACTACAGATGGCAACACTTCCTTTATCTCAGTCGGCAATAATGTTAACTACCATCCTACTTACTCAGACCTATTACACAGCAGTTAATCCTAAAAATCTGAAGTTGGCAAGTCTTCTGGTACATTGTGTCAGGCAGTCTGGTATAAACTGACCGACGGCTTCCATCATCAGGGTGATGCCCTGATGACGGAGGTAGTAATGCAGCTGAAATGTCAGTTACACATGATTGAATTTAACAGATTGTTTATTTTCATTCTAAGAACACTAATTTCAAATGTTAAAATTCTGAATTAAAGTAAAAGCAAAGAATAAGATTTGTTATAGATTTCAGAACTTACACTATGGACCAGATTTATTAACTGCATCAACAGAGAAGGAAGTGAACCCTGAGTACCTAAAACACAACACATGCATTATGGCTGGTATGGGACATTCCGGGATCATCTGTTGGAATGATTGTATACACACTATTCAACTGCTGCCACCCTCCCCCCAGAAAACTATAAATAAAAATTTAATGTTTCTACATTCTGATCCTGTTGCCAGAACAAGGCAGCTGTTGGTTTTTATGTACTGTTTATGTTAAAATAAGACATTTACCAAACTTGAACACACAAAGGTAAGTTCCCAAGTTACCTATACTTGATTTAACTTGCATTACCTTATTACCCAATCATATCTCATGTTAACTTAAGTTACCCCAATTTACAGTTAACTCTAGTGACCTACACTTACATCAAATGTTCCCATGGCACCACAAGTTACCTCCCTGACAATTTTTAGTTCATATACTTCGGCAG